TTTTACTGTAGATGTCATATGTCTGACTGACAAAGGTTGCCCTCTTCTGGTGAATTGATTGATTTTTTATTTTCTTTTTCCCTTGAAAACTTGACCAGTTAAAACATATGCCTCTATTTAACCAACCCAAACCATAAACATTTTTAAACAACAACAATAAAAACTGCTTTTCCAGAATCCATACATTTTCTCCATATGATTATCAATATTTTATTTTATTTATTTTTGTGTGTGTGTTTGTTTTTTTCCAAACAATAAATTAAGTGTCAACACTAAATTATGGCTTTAGTTAATTGGGTTGAGATAACTACAGATATTAACTGTCCCAAATATACATAAATAATTGCCTTTTACAATAAAGCTGTAGAAAAGAATGCATCTTACATTTTAAAATGTCTTATCCAGCCGAAGGAGTATAAAAAAGTGGACAAAAACATGTTAAGTGAAGTTACGAGTTTATGAAATATTCAAAAGTTTACAAATGTCACATTTATGAAAATATGTTTCCATGATTATCTGTGACAGCAATTTAGTCCGTAATAAGTGGAGCTGAGGTAGAATACGGCATTCAGAATATTTCCAAACAGGTCAAGATTTTGAATTTATGTGGTATGGAGAAAAGAAAAAAAAAAAGTGAAATGTATGGGATCTGTTTCGCAGAAATGCTTGAAACTGCAAACAGCATTATATAAAATATAATGCTGTAAACATTTAGAATCTAGGTCCATGTAATTCATATTCACAAAGTTTTAATTGGAGAAACATTGCTGTTCAGAGCTCATTTAGTCCATCCTAGAGTTTCTGAATTACAACTTGGAATTTGCCTATAAACAGAAAAACAAAAGACAATGAAGATAGTTACAATCTTAATAACAGCGTCAAATCACACTTTAACTGTGTACATGCTTGCTATTAAAGCCTCAAATATTTTAACATCATGTAGCCAAAAAAAAAAAAAAAGTATTTTATATAATGATTAATTTGGTTGCATATAGGGATGTAACGATTAACCACGAGCCGGTTGAAAATCGATTCAAATATGTGACGATTCAAATCGGTTGAGATGCTAAACAAATCGCGATTTAATTAGAGGTAAGAGTTTATATGAATGCACATCTGAGGGGAACTTACTCTCTTTAGAAAAGTTTATGGTATTTTTTCTTTTCATCTTGCCTCTGTATAACGCATATTAAAGTTCATAAGTGCAGCGCTGCTTTGTTTACAGCAGAAACCAAGGAAACGCTTTAAGCGCCACCTGCTGGCAGAGAGTGAATCTGCGTCTCATTCTGCTCGTCTGCTGTTTCTGTTTCATGCAGATATTTTTTATGTATAGTTTCACAAAACTGAAGTCAAACCATTCTGTTTTTGCTTCAAATTTCGAAATTATACAATCCAATTTAGATTAAAAACTGATCATGTTGCATGTATGCAGCATCTTTGTTTGGATCAAGATTAATCAAAATCGTGAATCGAATCGAATCGTGAAATCAAAATCATGAATCGAATCGTGATATCAAAATCATGAATCGAATCGAATCGTGAAATCAAAATCGTGAATCGAATCGTGATATCAAAATCGTGAATCGAATCGAATCGAATCGAATCGTGAGTTGAGTGAATCGTTACATCCCTAGTTGCATACATATCTATCATTCATTTAATTTATTTATTAACTTACTTATTATTTAAAAAAATTGATTCATTCATTCATTCCTTCATTCATTCATATATTTAGTTAAGAAGAGTTAAATACTGATTTTAAGTTTGGCATAAACTTACATGATGGCATTAAAGAAACCTCTGCAGTGACGACGCTCTCCAGACCCAGGTTAGATAGAGCTCCTCGAATCAACCCACAGGAAAAGGCCAAGTACTGCAGAGATCCAACATATTTAGATATATTAATGTTTCATTTATCATGGTATAAAATAATGTAGACAAAATAAAATCTCAGAGTATGATTTAACATGAATGGACTTAAACAGACAACGGACATTCTTACTTTAGGTGCTTCTTCAAGGTATTGCTTTCCACTGGAAAACTGAGTTAGGAGTGCAAATGTATTATCCTGTAAGACGTATGTGCCCTAGAGCAATGCCAGAGAGAAGAAATAACAGTAACGATTAATTCTACAATGTGTTGTCACATATTAAATACATAATTGAACTTTCAAACCTGATGGTTGGTCCTCAAGTTGTCGATTTGTTTTTTGAAGATCGTGCTCCAAAAATCTTTACACAGGAACTTCATTAAGTCCAAGTCATCTTTGAAAGTGGGGCAGTCTTTTGTAAATCTTTTCAGAAACATATGCAAAATTAGGCAATCACTATAGTTTATAAACTATGGATACTTTGTAGTATGAAAAAAAAGAGTGAAAAATTTAAGGGGGTCTGAATACTTTCCGTACCCACTGTATAACCATGTATACCTTTCAATCAGTCCTTGTCCAACTCTGAAGCCCATCGCCTCTAGAGTAGAGACACATGTCACTCTCTCCTTAAGAAAGCAAATCAGAACATGATGCAAATGGAAAATGACAAAACGCTGTAACGAAAACATAATTAAAGCAACATTTTTTTTTTTTTGATGTATGCCATCTGGACGCTTGTAGATGGTACCTTATCAATGTCCTCCCGGGTCGCCTGCTCCTTGTACACGAGAGCAACAATCTCCATGTGGAGGAATTCAAACAGAGCGTCATCTGCCATATCTGAAAGAAAGAACATCCGTGGAAAGTTCCTCAGACATCTGGAAACACTCCACTGGAAAATGGACATTTGTGTCTTTAACCCATTTAGGCCTGCTGCAGGCAAACTAAAGTGGCTCTTCCACACTTTTTTTTTCACTAGTGAATATGTTTAAGTAACTACAGGTGTTTTAAAACAGCTGGCATATAAATATACAACCTGAGAAAGAGATTTTGACAACTTGTTGGATAATGTGTCACGTGGTGATGTTTAATACAGCTGCTTTAATGCAGGGGTTTTCAAGTGAGTGCTAGGGGGTTTATGTAAAATTAAATTAAATTAATGAATAAATAAAATAAAATAAATGAATTGATGGATGAATTCATTAATTAAATTGACAAATCTCTGAAATGTATTTTAATAAATAAATACATCTAAGAGTAGTGAGTAACAAAAAACGTAAATGTAACGTAACCGAAACGAAATGGTTGCCAAATAATGTTATCTTTATCATATTACATTTTCACAGTATGAACTGGAAACTAAGTATTTTAGTTTCGTAAACATATGAGAACTTTCCAGAAGCTGTATAATATTATGTATTTTGAATATGTGCTGTTGATGTGCAATCAGTTTATGTCAAAACCGACAACTGTAAGCGTACTGCGAAGTCTTCTTGCCATCGGGGCTTTATATTTAAAGTATTTATGTGATTCGTAAGATTACAAACCATATAAGTATACATAAATGTACATCATCTGATTAATGTGAAGACAGCTGCTCAGCTAATTTTACCGCACCTTCAGCGATAGAGCTGCTAACGTGCTCAGTCTGTTAATGTTAAATATGATATAGTATTAGCATAAACACACATTTAAATTACTTACTCCTTGCACTTATCTTCAGTCACGTAATAAAAATACATTTATAAAGAACCAGATACACAAAATCCGCCTTCAGTTCTACTGTACAGGACTGCTACAACCAATACTGCCACCTGCTGTTATGGAGAATAACGACTTCGTCTCATTTCCTCGCTGATCCAAACGACTGTAAAGTTCATTTATTCTCCCTCATATTAGAGGTTATTGTAACAATATTTTACAATATTACCGTTTTACTGTATTTTTAATCAAATAAATACAGCCATGGTGAGCATAGGAGACTTGTCCAACCATTTCAATACAACTTAAGTAGGATTTACTGACATTTTCCCCCTTCCATTTGATTGTTTTTACCCACACACTTTTGACACAGTACCCATAGTTTAATGTAAAAGTAATTTCGTAATACCCTGTATGAACACTAGTAAGATTAATGGAATTAGTCGCGTTACAACTAACCCAACCCTGATCCATTTTGCATGTCAAAAATATAACACATAAAAGTGAACTATTACTTTACATTAAGAGTCAAGCAGTTGAAATTAACAGTGAAGTTCATACTTTAACACAGGAGTTCGAATTAGATGATGAAATTCATGACAATACACCTTCTTGTGTTCAAATCAGCCTTAAAGTGTGTCCCAAACCTAACTGGAAGAAACTGATAGTTTTACACAACTTTAAGCTTACCAATAACCCACTTTTTTCTCTCAGATAATGCAAGATGATTACAGACATAAAGCTACCTTGGTCCGAACTGCAATTTTGAAACAGTCACTGCTGAGTTACTTACCGTCTAAGATTCGCATCGAGTGTTAGTTCGCAATCAAACCAAAGTAAATAAATAACAAGTCTATTGTTCTATCTCTCAAAAGTGTTACTGATTAAAACATCAGAGCACTGAATACTTTCCTATGAAACTGAAAAATGCATATGTTGATGATTTCAGATCAGATCAAGCTCCTGAAACATCTACAGGACAAAATACTTTAGTAGTTCCTACTGAATGCATAACGTCCCAAATAAACAGCACTCAATCGTGCTTACACAATCCATTCTGCACAATTACGTTCTTGGTTGAGGGTAAAATCTCTAAAGAAGGTGGGCTAGAAGTGTTTTCTTTGCAACCCTCCAAGGTTTGAGGAGTCTCAGTGTCACTGCCCAACTCAGAAGGTGACCTCTTGTGGACTTCTAAGAGAGAGACCTTCCAAGGAGCAGCTGTTGGTTCGCTTTTAGGCATGAGGAACGTGGGATATGGCTCAAGAGTCTGCGTTTGAGCTTCATGCACGTTCGGACTAACTGAAGAGTCCGTGCCCGGGGTCTCAAGCTTGGGTTGGTGGTTCCTTGTGAAATTGGAGAGCTGCTCCAGGACCTGGATCTGGCGATCCATCATTCCTAGCATGCTGCAGTGGAAGGCTCTCTGCTCAGCCAGCTGTTCTCCAAGCCGGTGGTTCAGGATGGTTAGCTGCTGGAGGATGAGGCTGCTAGTCTCTTCAGAAGTTCCTGCTGGGACAAAACAAGAAGATCTGTGACTCCTGAGGTGCTTTAGTTTGTTCAGAGAACTGAACCAGTATGTCACCTGGGAAATCATTGTGGCTGCAGTCAATGGCATCTCTTGTACTTTCTGTACTGTTGGGAGTGCATAGGGATGGTGGTTCGGTCTTCACTGCATAGAGGTATTCTCCTGACAAGCCCAGGGTCATAACTTCATCTGGTCCTACGGCCCAGCTTGGAGGCTCAGAACCAGCCACATGATCTGGATTCAGACTCTCGTCAACATCAGGTTCAAGTTTAGAAGACATGCTCTCAGGCTCAGATTTAGGGATTAGGCCTTCAGGCCAATGACCTGGAAGAGGAGATCAACAGGACAAAACATCATTTTGAACAGTGGTCACAATTACAATGGTCTTGAATAAACAGACATGTACGCAATTATAAGGAACAACTCTAGAGAAATCTTGATGACATTGACCAAAAATAAAGATTCTGGCCTTATTTGCTCACCCTCATGTGGTTCCAAATCTGTATGACTTTTCTTAGTGAAGATATTTGGGAATGAGAGCTTTGGAGCCCATTGGCTTCCACTGTATGGACAAAAACACTTTTCTTAGGCATTTCTCAAAATATCTATGTTCCACATGAGAAAGAACAAGTCATACAGGTTTGGAGGAATGTGAGGGTGAGTAAATGACAGATTTTATGTAAAAGGGAAGTCTATCAAATGCAGTTAAAACATGTCAATAATACAAAGTAGCTGATAACATTAATATATTTTATAAACCAGTAATTCTCAAGTGGTGGATCACAGATATTAAGGAAAAAAATTAGATTAAATAAGGCTTATCAACTTATAATCAGGAGGAGAAAACGATTCCCATATCTTTTTTGTTTGGCGTCAATGGCTACATGTCAAGGCTAGCCAAATTAGACAGAGAAATTCTTTACAATTCTGTGTGAAATTCCACCATCTATAAAAACCTGGAATAAAACTGCATGACTATATAGGGTCATTCCGTGTCAACTCAACTAGAGGTCCCCAGCTCAAATTTTTGATTTTGCTAATATTTTTTCTGAAGAAAGATAAACATGTATAGTGATGAAAGCCAAACTATTGTCACAGATGTATATTTATTTAAATGGGTCTTCATTTTTAAGGCCCTAAATGGTTAGGTTCCAGAGATATTGGAATTTCAATACGGCTCCAGGAGTAAATCATTAAATTGTACACATTTTTAGTGGTCAAAAACCAAATGTAAGTCACTTTGCATAAATATGATACTTATATTTTATTAAAGAGGAAGGTCTGAAGAACAAATAAAGTTGAAACTAGGGATGTATCTCATTTCCTTCGTCAAAACTACAGACAGGAACTTACCTGTTCTTCTTCTTCCAAAGTTTTCATGCCTATAACTCAGGAAGTATTAAAGATATCACAACATGAATTTATATTCTAGTTCTTTAATAAACTACTCTTTTGGAATCTTCACTTTCAAGGCCTTACTTACATTGTTCAATCCCAGAGATTATGGGGGTCTCAATGAGGCTCCATATTCAGATTGTTGAATATTACCCGTTTTCAGTGGTGGAAACCCAAATGTTAGTCACTTCGATTACAGTTGATACTTATTTTCTTTAAAGAACAATGTCTGAAGATTAAGTAATGCTGAAAACATAAATGCATCTTGTTTCCCTCCATAACAACAATTGTATGGAACATAGCTGTTTAAGTGTCATAAATATTCTTTTTCCAAAATTTGCATGCCTGTAACTCAAGAAGTTATAAAGTTATCTTAACATGATTTTAGATTCTGGTTCCTAAGAAACTTTTCTTTTTGAATCTTTGGAAGACATTATGGTTTAATCCTAGAGATATTGAGATCTCGGTGCAGCTCCATGTCCAAACTGTTGTATTCAATAAAAATTGGTAGTACCCTTGCCTCCATAGACAGCAAGGGTACTACCACGATCAGAAAGGCCCAGAAAGGTAGTACTACCTTTCCTTACTACCTTTCTGGACCTTGATCGTGGTAGTACCCTTGCTGTCTATGCAGGGTCAGAAAGCTCTCGGATTTCATCAAAATATCTTAATTTGTGTTCTGAAGATGAACGAAGGTCTTGCAGGTTTGGAACAACACGAGGGTGAGTAATTAATGACAGAATTTTCATTTTTGGGTGAACTATCCCTTTAATTATTTCAAGTATGAGAGACCTTAAATGTATGAGGTACTATCAGTGATTCTGCCAAACATACCCTTTAGCAGTAGATACTACTTCTTTGACTATGTCTATGATTCACATTTTATAACAATAAAAAAAGTGACAAATTGACTAACATTTGGTTTTTGACCACTGAAAATAATAATTATTCAACAATCTGGACATGGAGCCTCATTGAGACCCCATATCTCTGAGACTGAACAATGTAAGGCCTTGAAAATGAAGATGCCAAAAGAGTAGTTTATTAAATAACTAAATCTAAAATCATATTTTGATATCTTTAATACTTACCGAGTTATAGGCATGGAAACTTTGGAAAAAGAAGAACAGGTAAGTTCCTGTCTAGTTTCAACAATATTTGTTCTTCAGACCTTCCTCTTTAATAGAAAATAATTATCATATTTATGCAAAGTGACTCACATTTGGTTTTTGACCATTGAAAATGTGTACAATTTAACAATTTACTCCTTGAGCCATATTAAAATTCCAATATCTCTGGAACCGAAACACATAGGGCCTTAAAAATGAAGATGCCAAAATAAAAGTTTAAGACTCAATATCTATAATGGCATTAAGATATCATTAATACTTCTTGAGATACAGGCATGCAAACTTTAGAGAAAAAATTTGAGGAGTTCTCATTCCCCATTTTTGAATGGTCAACATTGGCACATAATGCAACAAAGATTGCTAAAGTCAACAGATTTTACTAACAGACCTACAAATCTCTGTGTAAAGGTAATATTATGAGGCGGCTGTTTTTCTCAAGTCATTTTGGCCCCCCCCCCCAACCATCTATGACATTTAATATTTTGGTTTTCATCCTTATACATGTTTATCTTTCTTCATAAAAAAAAAAATATTAGCAAAATCAAAACTTTGAGCCGGGGACCTCTGGTTGGGTTGGCACGGAATGGCCCTATACTGTTTTACCCCTACAGTATATCCAGTATGACTGGGTCATCACCATGTCTAATGTAAAATATCCTGAAGCAAAACCAGTTGAGGTCCAATGATGCTATAAGACAAGCATATCTCTAGGACAAAAAAAAAGGATATTTCACCCAAAATTCTGGCATAATTTATTCAACCAATCAGTTCAAAACCCATTTGGCTTTTTTCTCTGTGTTCCCTATTTCAGAAGATTTGGGATAAAGTGCACAATATGGACCACTTTTGTGACGTTTTCATTAAGCCTAACAACATCTGTCCTCACATTCAGCTTCCCAATCTAATCTTTCATTTGGAATGAGGGTAAGTAAATGGCAAAATCTGATTTTTTGGATGAACTACTCCATTAATACCGTGCATACAGACAAATAACTTCAAGTCATGCAAAAAGGCAATGAGAAGCAGTACTGTCTGCATGGTCATCCAGGTCTGCGAGTGACCGTCCAAGCAGGGCGTGACCATCTGTGAGGTCGTCCTCCCTGCCTCCCACCTTCGGTCTGCGCACCAACATGTGATCCAGCATATGGAAGTAACGGAAAGACTCGACGGCAGACAGGCGAGCGGCTGGACTTCTGTAGCTGGCCAGTTTGATCTTACGGTACTTGTGTTTGAGGCTCTTCCAACGGTTTCGGATTTGGGTGACAGTGAAGTGGATGCCCCGCTTTGCCAGACTCAGCCTGAGGTGTCGGAAGAGGGATTCGTTGCGCTGACGCTTCTTATCCAGCTCGTGTACCAGACCCATCTGCTCTATGAGGGCCAGCATGGCAAACGTGTCCGGTTCAGTCCACCACTTGTTGGGCTTCTTCTCGTTGAGGTTCATGGTCTCCTCCCTGTTTGAGGCCCCTAAACATGCAACCCACTTCAGAAAGAAGGTAGATTAAAGAAATCATTCAGATAATCAAACTCTTATTACAACATTTAAATGCATTTTTTTTTTTAAATATTGTAATTGCAACAGTGAAAATCTGGGATTCAAAATAAAATTTAAACCTGGAAAGTATTTTTAAAAATTCAAAACTAAAATGATTTAGTTTTTACTTCTGGACCCAGCTGTTTCATTATTGTCCGGCCCTCACCAGAACACACCTCATCAGGAGAGATGTTGCTGAGAGGTAATGATTTCTGATTAAAGATTATGTACATTAATAATAATAATAAATGTACAAATAATTTATAATAAACACGTACATTTCATTGAAAAATAAGAGTTGTCTATTTTTATTGCATTGTGACTTTAAAGATAATAAATTAATTTAGATATTAAAATTGAGCATTAAAATGGTTCTCAATCATAACATTCATAAGGAAATACCAGAGAGAAGCATTATTGATTAGTAATCTGAGACATTTGGTCCCCAGTGCAAATCATTATTGTAACGTTACATATATGCATTATTAGGCCTAGTCATTATCAAATCAAGTGACATAAAGGATAAACCACAACACCATAAGCATAAAGCATTCAGATAGGACAGATCAGTCTACACAGACCTGTTAAGTTGTAGGCCTCGTGCACATACTGTAGTGCAGCAGGGATTCATCGAAATCGCCTCCGTATCGACCGAAACACGCTAAATTCGCCAAATGACAGACTGCGTGAAAACATTTAAGATATTTGTTAATTGTGACAGGTTTTGAATCAGTGTTTAGACACTGAGAACATCTGTTTACGTCATACTGAGCCTTTTCCCTCTTGATTTCTCACAGAAATGAATCGAGCGGATAGAACGGCCATTAGCTTGAAACATGAAACCTAACATAGGCAGAGATTAACGGACCGACTGATGTTTCCAATTGGTCGGAAACGATGGGTGTAAAATTATGATGTCTCTCCACTTTGTATTTTAAATGTAACATAATTTGAGGACGACAAGTGCCGTTTTTCTAGTGTACATTTGTGTCCAGGGTGTTAGTGAAACTGAGAATAGAGACGGCGTTGTCACGTGATGAGTGTTAGTTTTCACAGCGCTGATGAGGCTGGACCAATGACAGTCGTTTGTATTTACTTGATAAGGATTTTTATAAAACCCTTGCGGATTTTTGTTTTGTTTATCGTGTAGAAATCTGTGGACTGAATATAATGTCATAATTATTAATTTAGGAGCACAAATGTCCACCATAAGACAAAAACCCTGGGATTTTGCTGTGGCTCTATGATTCTGATTCTGCTTTCTGAGCCGTCAAGCGCCCCCTGGTGGAAGACAACCATTTTGAAAACCCCAAGCTCCCGCTTGTGGTTTGAATAACATTACATTGTGACCTCGTTACTGCCACATAGTGTATCGGAGTACCTGTGTTGATTCACATGGTAATTGTGAATAACGTGTGCACATTTGAATTGTGTTCAACATTAGAAGTAATCAAAAGAAACTGGCAAAAAGAGGCAACATTTGAATAACATTAATTTTCCATTGACAAATAATAGCGAATTACAAAAAAACTGCAAATTTAAACAAGCATTAGGGTTAATGAATGGTCGTGGCTAGACCCGTTTTAATGTGTGAAATAGTATAAGCCTACTGCTGTGCCCCCATAAAATATTACTGATCAAATCTATCTGAAAAAGATTTCAGTATACCGATCTGAGAGTGATTCCCTGACAACATTTCAGCAATCATACTGTGTGTTTTCTGTGTTGAAAACAAGCGGCAACCTCCCGCCCTCTCTCGTGAAGCCAACACGGAAGTGACTTAAACTGCAATTCATCGACTGGCCGCTAGAGGCTGGCTCCAAAAGGGAGTCAATCCCATAGACTCCCCATGTTAAAATGCCCAACTTTACAGCAGAAAAAAACATGTTTACAGCCTGGTTCAAAAAATTATTTTGGTCTATATAGCTAATTTTGCCCTTCATGACAACTGTGAGGGGGGTGAATTTTTTTATAACTCATCCGTTTAAATTATATTAAGCCTTAAAGTTCTGCATAATTAAGGGCGTGGCCACTTGAGTGACAGGTGGATTGCCACTGCTGTCACTGCCTTCGAGCTAGATGGGCGTGGTTTCAGCAACCTGCTCCCACCTCTGCCCAATTTCGATTATCCGGGAGTGACACGCGGTGACGCGCTGCAAAGATGGCGACGGCCCGCTCCGCCCACTTTGAGCTTCAAAAACCTCTTCAGGAACCTACGGGTGATGTCACGGACACTACGTCCATGTTTTTATACAGTCTATGTTTGAAAATCAGAACTAGCGGGGGCGGTATTTCCGTATGGCAGTCGCTATACCCTAACCCAGTGTTTCCTAACTAGTGTGTTGTGGAAAATTAACCAAAAGTTATATCTTTATTATATTTCATAATTATTATTATTTTAAATCAGTGCTATTGGTCTTCCTTATGTCTGTTTGGGGTTTTTACAAATATTTAACCAATGAAAAGCATTCAAAAGAGCTTGTCACTAATCTTCAAACTGTCAGTGAAACCTCGTAACTCCAAGTGCCGCACACAGCATGGAGACAGATCTTATTCGCAATGCAAGGGTAAATAAATAACTGATGTTTGAATAAGTACAGCATTTTCTTTACTGAAGATACACTGTCTGTAAAGTCAAATGTTTTTTGTGTATTTAAAAAGTGTCTTAGCATTTGTCGTCTAGTTGTAGCCAATAAACGTTTGTATGTTTCAAATATCCTGTGCATAGCACTTCATCCTTTATATCCTGAGATTTTAGCCAAGTGCATTAAACAACAAGAAAAATGAAGTGCCCATATAGCTACAATAAACATTATAACCTGTAAGCTGATGAAGGCGATGCACTTGCTGCCTCATATACAGCCATTCTAACGACAGACCAGACAGCAACATAGTGTTGGCCCAGATCCGTCCCACATCTGGCCCGCGTGAAATCCATGCGAAACTGGATGCTGTCTGGTCGTCATTTGCTGGTCAGAAACCTTGTTAATTCCATTTGAACTTGATTTTCATAAAATGATAAGTGCAAGTGTCTGGTGAAGCCACGATAAGAACTTTGATGACGCAGTGTTTAATTATTTAAAATATATATTTTTCCCTCAATATTTCAGTGCTTATAGTGGTGTGCCATGGGATTTTTTATCAACCCCACCATATTGATTACCACCTGTATAACCACAGTTTTACTACAAATACCATGGTTAAAATATGGTTAGTGTAGCAAAACTCTATATTTCATGTGCAGCTTGTTAATAACTCTGTAGTTCCCTATCGAAAGGTAACTCTCATTGCGTTGCTTGACGCTTATGGGGAAAACTCCTTTTTTACTCTGATACTGAAGCCTGATTTGTTCACGTTTGTGTAGCTGCACAAACCAATGGTGCTCTAGCCCGCCTGGATATATAAGCCGGCTCAGAGTGCCATCACATCAGAATTTTCTCCTTCAGCAATGAGACCATCTCTTCGCTGACTCTGCGACAAAGCCAAAGAGAAAGAAACCCTAAGAAAGAAGCTCTGCCTGCTTGACGCTCTCCACATAGAAGGAGCCACTGGCAGTGGAAGATATTTCCCATGTGGTCATCTGGCTACTAAAAGAGCCAGAGCAATGTAAATGCAAATTTTCCAGTGGCGTTGTTTCAAACACTAGCTTGCTCTATTATTTTTCTATTCTATCTATTTCTCTTTTTATTTATTATATAATTTAAAAAAAAACCTTGCTACGTGTACTGTGTTAAGCTAACTGAGACTTGTTACAGCACTTTTTGATATCATTCCATTTTTCTCATTTGTAAGTCGCTTTGGATAAAAGCGTCTGCTAAATGACTAAATGTAAATTTAGTGTAAATGTCGCTTCGCGAGTGCAGCTTGTGTAAGGACCCCTTACATGAAGCAGACGGACACAGTGAGTGCCTCACCGGTCTGGGCACCACCCACACAGAGGCTGCGCTCACTGAGACATGTTCTCACTGCAAGAACATAAAGCCCATCTGTCTTCGCTTGTAGAACGCCTTCTTTCACGAATTCGGTCCTCTCTGCTCTCCCATTTCCTTTCTCGCCTAAGAGAAAGAAACAGCAGAGCAGCGGGTCTCATTCATCGGGCTCAAGTGATGTCACGTTTGCTCAGCACCCACACGCTTTACTCTCCTTGCAGCGCCTCATCCCGCCGGTGTGTTTCACATGTAAGGATCAACGCCCCTTGTCAGCTGCGAGCGGCTTGGTGTCCTTCTGCGCTTCTGAAGAGAAGGTGGCCATCGACGACTCTATGTCCTTGACGGCATCTGACGGCGAAGAGTGGGTGTGTTCTAGCGAGGAGCCTGAAGCCCCCTCTCCGTCCTAGTCTGCATGGCCCAGTGTGGACTCAGAGCTGATCCGATTTCTCACGAGAGCTGTGGTCGGGCCCGGAAGAGCCTGCCCCCGGCTTCCTCGATGAGTGGTTCTTAAAGGGACACTGTCAACCTTCTTCCTGACAGCGGCCAGCTCCATTCATGCCTGCGACCCATGACGAGCTCACTAAAACAATGGCGGGCTCTATACTCAGCACTTGTAAACCCTTCTACTGCAGCTGCTCTTACCACCATTGACGGCGCTGAGGAAAAAGGGTACAGCAAGCTCCCCCCTCTCGAAGAGGCAGTAGCTACTTATCTGTGTCCAACGTCGACCCGCGGGCTCAAGACTGCAGCACACCCATCCAAGCCCTGCAGAATGGCGTCAGCCCTGGCCAACAGGTTTATGCAGGGGCTGCCCAGGCCGGCTCAGCCCTGCATATGATGTCTGTGCTACAGGTATTTCAGGCCAAACTTCTCCGTGACATGGACTAGTCTGGCCGGGATCCTAGCGCCTTCAGAGACCTTTGCAAGGCAACAGATCTGGCCCTGCGCACTACGAAAGCAACGACACAGGCGGTTGCCAAGGCCATGGCCAACTTGGTGAAGCTGGAGCACCACCTGTGGCTGAAATTAACGGAAATCAGGGACGCCGAGAAAATTGTCTTCCTCAACTCCCCGGTCTCACCCAAGGGACTGTTCGGCCCTGCCATGGACGGATTCACAGAGTGCTTAACCGAGGCACGAAAGATGTCACAAATGCTACTTCATTTTCTGCCTAAGCGCCCCAGCTTGGCGACTGTTTCAAGCCACCCAAAGACAGCATCCGCACAGCAGACTGCAAAGCCGGCGCAGCCTCAGCCCCCGCCTAAACCGGAGCCAGGGCTTCAACAGCGCAACCGGACGGCCAGGAAGTACCCCTTCCCGAAGCGCCAAGGTCCCCGCTCTCAAGTAGTGCTGGACCCAGAGCCCCAGAAGCCGTCCTGATCTGTGTGCAGAGAGGAAGAGGAGAGAAGCGAGTTCTTGCCGAAGTCGGAACCCCCTCAAAGAAAGCTTGCCATCTTTCCCCACCTCTTTGAACACTTCTGAGTCACTCAGCGGTGGAGGTATTTTAACAGGGCACATATTGCAAGCTCAGCGTGTGCAACAAGCTACTGCTGTGATAGCGGACCCACATACCCTAAAGAGCATTTCTCCTCTCCCTGCAATCACGAATGTCAGTTCCCCGTCTCAGAGCGGCGAGCTGCCATTTATAAAAATAGAGCCTCTTGCCGCCCGGCTGCTGGCTTGGAAAGCCATTCCTGGCATGTCAATCTGGATTCTAAAAATTATAGAATGAGGTTACTTGCTTCAGTTCGCTCGCAGGCTGCCATGTTTCAAAGGCATTACACAGACTTTGGTATAGGACAATGAATGCACACATTCTTCGATCCAAAGTGCAAACATTGCTTGCAAAGGGTGCCATGAAAACGGTCCCCTTAACGAACAGTGAGTTTTTACAGCCAATACTTCCTTGTTCCCAAGTAAGA